TTGTTAACGTGAACTAATGAAGTTACTTAGACCACTGAAAAGGTAAAATAATTAAACTTTTAATAAAAAGAACCTGAAGTCTACTTCAAAAATTAGATAAGTCTTAATATATCGAAGAAATTAAAGCCTAAAAGGGGGAGCTATAATGTGGATTATATTGATTTTTGAAGATTTTATTAAAATTTTATTAGATTATATTATTTATTGAAGTTTCGAAGCCCCTTTGTACTTTTTATTAAACCTAAACTAGTACCTGGGCAACATTCGGTAGATTAATTTTTTTCTCAAATTCCGTATCCAGTAATGTTTGTTTATGTTGTACTCGCACTTTAACTGCTTTGTACTTTTTTTTTATAATTTTTGTCCTTCGCAATTTGTAATTTGTTCTTAGTATGCCCACAGTGTAGGACATAGTTGAACTTGATTATATAATTATGTTTTGTGGCATACTATGTTCAGCAGTGGACTTATGAAGGGCTGTAATGATGATGATGATGATATAATCATCTATATGATAGCTATGATCACATTTCATACAGTTATTTCTAAGCACTTACTTTAATTGTTTATACTATTTTTTAATAATTTTTGTACTTCGCAATTTTTAATTTGTTCTTAGTATGCCCACAGTGTAGGACATGGTTGAACTTGATTATATAATTATATGTAATAACATCTATGTAATAGCTATGATCCATGAATTAAAGAATTAAGACCCATTTTTAGCAAAACGTCTCTTTGTGAATTTTGAGAACAAAACTTGGAAACAAAAGTGTACAACCAGTGTGTGTTATTAGTAATAACATAAGGATCTGCGACGTGTTCCTTCACTCCTGGCCATATTAGTAAACACAAGGTCAAGGAGCTATCTATGGAGAGAGTAATTTTTGAAGTTTGCGTGATAGAATGCAAAATTTAGACATGTAAAATAAGATATACCTTAATGGATCAGCAAGTGCTAATAGACCAGTCTTATAGCTTGAAGAATACAAATTCTATATTAGCATTTACTCACATAGAAGAAATAATTTAGACCATTGATATAAACAATATTATACAATAATTATATTTTGAGATTACGAATGTGTATGTGACTAAAATATTATGATAATTAATCGAAATTCTTTACGATTTTGGTGGCGATACACCACGCATCGTATGGTAGCGACAAATTAGAATACGTCAGCTCATTTCGTTCCGAGGATGTCGTAGAAGGGACTATGGAACATGCCTGAACAAATACCTCAAGTAGTTGACAGTATAAACATTTTTCTATAACGTCAGATGTAAAATTTCCAGACTGACAAAGGGCAGTAACATCAAAGTTGCAAAACGTCTCGCTCTGCGATGTTTAAACATCACGTCTATCAGTGGGGATGTACAGGTCGCCAATGAAAAGGAGAATAAGATACCACGATGTAGGTTTCTCTTACGCCGTCTCCACACTGTGAACATTACGTCATAAAAATGTTACAATAAAATTGTTTATTCACTCACGTCCAAAACAATATTATAACTTGGATTGAAATGTATTCACAGTCGTAAGCGGGTTTACATATTTCATACGTAAAGCTAACTCGTGGCGGTCGTTCAAATTTTGTCGTATTGTTTGAGTAAAGGCTTTATGATCCCTACTTTAAATGCATTGTGTGGCTCAGTTACTACCGTAAGCTTGTGCATAATTTATTTAATATTTTGTAATTTTATAAATGTTTATCATATAGTCAGTAGAAAATATGAAAGTATAGTATAGTGTAATTCAATAAACGTACTCGGCAGTTACGCCAAAAATTTTACACATATAATACGAAACAAAAAATAAATTACTCCTGAAAACATTTTTTAAATCAAATGAGCAAACTGTGATCGCACGTAACTGTCACAGTAGATTATAAAATTTTGCAGTACAATCGTGTGACTCTGTTGGTTACTCACTTTTTGAAGAGTTAGGTTTGTTTTTTTTTTTATTTTACATTGTGTTGGTTTAAAATTATAAGCCAATATTTTTTATAAATTATAATAGATTACAAAATAATATTATCATGATAAAAAATCACAACGCAGTTATAGAGTAAATTCCACCGGCAAACGATACACATCGCTCTCGTGTAACCAAATTTAAACAAAGTAGATATTTAAGATGGAACACCTCACACTCTTTTTTATTATTTGCAATTACTTTTTATTATTAAACATTTCACTAATATTGTTTTACGCAAATTCAGATGTCTGAATAATAAGCTTAATTTTTTTAAATTTATTTATATTATAATAACCATGGACAAAAAAAAATTGTCTCATGACTTTAACCTAGTATCCTCACTAAAATCATCAGCTTAGGAGCAACGGGTGATATTTTACCTTTTTTTAATTCACGGTTATAAGCTATATTTCGTAATATTTTAGCTAACATTGCTACAATTGTAAACTTAATAATTTTTATTTCGTTTCGGAATCCTATTACAAGCTTAGTACTTAATGCACTGAGCAAACTAAGAACAATAAATAAAAGTAGTTTTGTAGATTTACTCGTGATTTATTTTAACTCTTTTTGAAATCTGGGTTTCTACCATACCTTGGTCACAGTCTAACTGTATGTTATTCTTAGGCTATGCCTTAGTTGTATACTTAGTGAGGTGTTCACGTATTAGTTGGCAGTATAATTGTGGGCTGTGAGGCTCGAGGTTAAATGTAAATGTCTACGAGCCACAATATTCACTTACCATCAGGTAGACTGTGTGCTCATTTGTCACCCAATGCTATAAAAAAACCTTTTCACCGGTCCCAATTGATGGTGTTGGCGAATTTCAACAACAAAAATTTACGGAATTTAAAAGTTAAGTAATACAAGCTCAAGAGAATAAAAACTTAGCACGTATCAGTCTCAGGCGGATTTTACATTAATTAATTAATTAAATACACTAGCGGGGGGGGGGGAAGAGAAAAACAGCAAGTGTACTACTTAAAGAAAATGAAAATGTTATAACAAAATAGGTCTCCAACTCACCATAATGATGCAATAATGTAAGCGTTGGTTTTGGGTTGAAGACTTCTGCGACTTTATTCGTGTTAACGCTATTCCAAAAGTACAAAACTTAATGGCCTTGTTTTGGTATTTTTATGTAAATTTTAATAAATTATCAGTTTGCTGATGCATTAAATTACTACTTTGTGCCTTTAACAGCGTGACTTTACTATCGACAAAGTATTATTTCGAAGAATTATTTATCTCATTTCTGTACATAAATTAATTTCTGAAATAAATTTAGATCAGAAATACAATCTTCTGGGCACAAGGTTATGAATTTTGTTTAACGTATTTTCTAGTTAAATTAGCCTTTAGCCTTTAATCTCGCTTTTAGCCTTTGATCTGCCACGGCTATGATCAACACATCTCACAGTGTCCATAAACCAAGGATCTTTAAGTATAATACATAATAAAATAATGTAAATATTAAATATACTTTACAACAAAACTTTGGCACACACATAACTATTTATTACGATTAGTAAATAAAAACATACTATAATTCTCAACATTTTTGTCTAACATTATATAGAAATGATATCTAATATAATAATATGATAGCCAAGAGTAGTATTACCATTATCTGTTTTATATTCACACCTTTACGGTATGTATGAACAAATGCAAAACTTAATAGTATTTTTAGCAGACTTAGAAGAATTAAAAATAATGTAGTAATTTCAAGCTTACAGCTTCTGAAAGCGTCTTCAATTTTTTTATATACTTAGTCTTTATACCGCCTTCAAAAGCTATGTGGAATTAAGTAGAAATTATTTTAAAGTTTAAGTTTCGTGAAAACTTATCATGATTTTTCTACGTTTAATTTTCTATGTCTAAAACATAATATTACAAAATAATATCCATATAAATTAAGTGCTTTAGATATTTTTATACGTGCTAGAACCAAGCTGTAGCAATATTATAGTTGTAGCGCGAATAGGTCGGTTCAACCGGGGTAGAACCATGCTCCGACAAAATACCAGCGTATAATAAAAGCTTAATGCTGCTGTGTTTCGTATGATAAGAGTAGAGACTCGGATACCCCTTTTACTGGTAACGAGGCATTCCATCTTAGTCATCAGGGGTAACAACGCATCTGCATTTTGATTTTTAATCGAGGGTAGATGTAGATGTTTATGGACCGCAGCACTCACTCACCATCAGGTGAATAATTTATATACACATAAAATGTAAATTAATTTACATAGTATCTTAGTTTTAAAAATGTTATGTTTTTTTATTGTTATGAGTTTACATAATTTAAAAAAGAACATTCCATAGAGAATAGTTTTAGTTTTAACCCCATCAGAATACGCGGGGCAGCCTGAGCACCCATGCTCAGGAATCGAACAGTAGCTTGACAGCTCGTTCACACTAGTCGTAAGTCGCATATGACTAAAAGTCGAAAGTCTGATGTACCTGTTCACACTGCGTTGCGAGTCGTATAGGTCGTAGTTTCGCGCCATTCGGTACGTAGCGAACTCACGAGATGGACGCCGACGAAGAACTTGTTGTGCTCTACTACTTACGAAGAAAATTAAAAAAGTTGAAAAAAAAGTCAATTCCAAGAAAATACTGGATGCACCCAATCCTAACAGAAAGATTGACTTTAGGAAGTTATAAAAATTTAATACGTGAATTAAAAAATGACGAACGAAAATTCTTTAATTATTTTAGAACGTCACAAGCAACTTTTAACGACCTACTGTCAAGAGTTTCTGCGAGCATCACGTATCGGAATACGACATTTAGAGACTGCATTTGTCCTGAAGAAAGACTGTCGATATTTCTTAGGTAAGTGTTTTTTTTAGAGCCACACTACAACTGCTACAAATATTCAGATTGTATTTGTAGTGTAGTAGTCTGATTGTAGCAGTTGTAGTGTGATTTCTTAGGTGTATTGAAATTGAAACAAAAGTTATTTTAACTTGTTTATTTTAAGTAGGTAAACAGTGCAACATATTACATTAATTCAAAAATCAGAGAAATTTAATTCAGTACTTTCCGACCAAGTAGATGCAGCAGGAGATCCTTCCTCATACGTTTGACGTCTTTCATATCCAGACCCATATGGTGTAAGAACAGCCTGGTTTTGAGAGGAATATCCGGATTCATCGGTAGATAAATAATTATAGTTCTGTGTCGAATACCCCGATCGCCGTGTGCTATCACGCGCGTAATTATAATTATTTGCATAAAGTCTGTTTTCACGTTTCTTTTTGATTTGTTGTATCATTGATAATACACCTGATTGAAGCTCCAACGTTCCGTCATCGTCGAAAGACGTAACAGAGGGTAGGATACCTTTAAAAAATGATAAAATTGGGGGATCAGTTTGTTGTGATAGCCTGCTGTCTAAAAACTCGCTCATTTTGACATCTAAGTCCATTATATGTTGCTGTGGTGGCATGGTCTTTTGTCTTTTAGAAGTGCTTGGTTGCGAATTTTCAGAAAACTGAGTACTGCCTTCTGTCCCTGGTTGAGATATACGCGACGCAACAGACTCTTGAGGAGGATTAGGTCTAGCAACTTTACGCAAAAAATCCATTTGCTCTTTATATACATATGGCTTTGACGACTTTGCCCCTGATCCTGATTTTTTTTCATCATTTTTGTTTGTTCGGATCCAGACATTCCGTAAGTTCGTCCACTTGGTCAATACTAATTTACCTGAAATTATATTGCAACATTATTTTCAGATATTGTGCGTCAGGATGTTCCTTCAAAGACCTGAACTACAATTTCAGAATCGGAGTATCAACTGTTAGTAAAATTATCAAAGAAATGAGTTGCATTATCTGGGATACATTAAAAGAAGAGTTTATGAAAATAAATGGGAAAACATCGCAAATGGTTTTGATATTAAAGCTAACTTCCCACACTGTATTGGAGCCGTCGACGGCAAGCATATTAGAGTAGTGAAACCAAATCAAAGCGGCTCGATGTATTTCAATCACAAAGGTTATTTTTCATTTGTTTTACTAGCTGTTGTTGATGCAGAATACCGTTTCATTTATATAAGTGTTGGTTCATATGGGAAAGAATGCGATTCTTCCATATTCAAGGAGACTACCTTTTGGAAGAAACTGAATGATGGTAGTTTAAACATACCAAAGCCAAGGCCTCTTCATGAAAGAATCGAAAAGGATATGCCCTATGTACTAGTTGGCGATGAAGCTTTCCCCCTGACGACAAATTTGATGAGACCTTTCGAAGGCAATCATTTGGATGATACGAAAAGAATATTTAATTATCGATTATGCCGTGCAAGAAGATTTATTGAGTATGCTTTTGGAATTTTAGCTAATAATTGGATGTCCACCCAGACACAGCTATCCATATTGTGAAAGCCTGTGCAGTATTGCATAATTATTTAAGAGAAAGGGATGGTCTAAACTTTGAAGATATTCAACTTGCACTAGAACAATCGATACAAGAACAAGATAAACAACAGAGAGTACATAATCCTCGTGGTGGTCCGATTGCAAATGTTATACGATCGGACTTTGCAGACTATTTTACTTCCCCGATTGGTTCGCTGCCTTGGCAAACTAATGCGCGATACGCTTAATATAAATGAGTTAAAAATTAATAATACAACTGTAAATACATAACTATGTAGTATAATAGTTAATAAACTTTACTGGCACTTACCGAAATGTTGTCTTTCTTTTTCTTCCACGTTTTTAAAATTAGGTATTAGTATGGTACAAATTTCGCGCCAGGCCAATAGTTTTCAGATTATTATTTTTGTAGTCATTTAAAGTTTTATCCCAAAGGACTGCTCTTTCGTGAACTAATGGAATTAGTTCTTCGGGTTTTATTTCTTTCTCCATTTTCACGCAACAAACAAAAACAGCGCGCGCGCAAACAATACGACGAATAAAACGCGAATGGAGTGAGCAAGCAATGTGTAGCGAACTAGGAAGCGGGGTGGGGAGAGAGGTAACAACGCGCTCGAGTCGATTAGATGCACGACTAGTGTGAACAGCAACAAGCAGGCACCTATGCGAGCACGATTTGACGCGATTTTTAGCCTTACAACGGGTGCTGACCCGTCGGATGGTTTTTTGAGTCGTATTAGACTAAAAATCGCGTCTCATCCAATGTGAATAGCTCCATATAAAGTGTATGGTGACCAGAGCATTCTACTTTTAGTCATTTGCGACTTACGACTAGTGTGAACCGGCTCTGAGTGTGGATGGTTAGTGAGAGATTCTCCATTACTAGAGGTGTTGGTACCCTCCTTCAAATTCAACTACCATATTATGTGGGGAGGGGATTTGGACCTTTTTTTGCACTAATCAATTGAAACGCATAAGCAAAGCTTCTACTTGTCGCTGGTATTCTGTGAGGTCATGATACTTCCCCGGTTCGAGCCGTACAATCACAAACCACTGTTAAATAAGTGTTTATTTTAATTGTATAAAATAAATTTATGTTAAATTAATTCATTGAATAAAACTATTATTATTTATTTTTTTTTTTTCTTGGGTTTTAAAAATATTAAAGAAACAGTAAGTAGTCTCCTAATCTTTAAATTTTTCTTTGTTATTTTTTTCAATATGATTAATTTACATAATTTAAAAAAGAACATTCCCAACAAAGTAGATTTAATCATACTTAAAACAAATATTTTACGTAATGTAAATCAAGTTTATATTTTTTTGCTAACCATCATGGAAATTTTAAACATGCCATTTAAAAAATGGTTTAAACATCCTTTCTTATTCCTAAAAAGAATATTATTTTCTTAACCTTAATCGCACTTTTCATTCACCAGCCTGAGTATTTTAACCCGGCGGTACTCGCTAGGTAATTATTGACACGAACACTCGCTACTGGGTAAAAAATACCCCGGAATTAGTTTGACATAATTTAAAGGAATTCGTAACATTTTAAATTTTGACTATGTATTAACTTTATTTACACTATTTTCTATGAATAAAATTACGAATGCAAGTTGTAGTCATCTTTTATTTTAAACGAGGCCTAATTATTAATTAATAACAAAAACTTTAAGAATTATTTGTAACAAAAACAACAAAAAAATACTTTTTTTCTTAAGATTCGTGCAAATATAGATCTATATTCAAGATAGACATACTGCCTTACAAAATGAACACAAAATAATTATACTTTTATAATAAGCGAAGTTTGAGAAAATCATCGTCAAATAGCTTGCTTCAAAATGTCAATGCCAATCAAAATTACTTTACTCTATCAAAACACTCGCCACAGATTGGAGTAGTATGCTCTTTGCAAATCTTTTTGCAGCACAATTCACAGATTGTCTTCGTTTTCCGGTCCTTTTTCCATACACATACTGCACAGCGAGATGGTGAAGTGGATGGGGATTCTTCATTCAAGTTGGCACTAAGGATAAACTTTATTTTTGATTTTATATATGGTGACAAATTATGAACTGTGGTCCTCCTTTTTATTTGTGGCATCACAAGTCCCAAAGCTAGGTCTTTCAGAGCGATTCTTCTCTTAGCCATCACAGCTTCATTATTTTCTTTTTTTGCTTTTACAATAACGTACGCATGAATGCCGCCGATGTTCAAAAGCCCATAAAAAACTACTAACGTCCATCTTCTGGTTGTCCGTGCAACTGAGTAGGCAGCACACATCTCATCCACAACATCGACACCACATTTGTTCGCGTTGTAATCTATTATCATTTCGGGCTTTCTTTCTTCTCCGGGATCTTTTTTTGCCGTCATGGTGCATAGTGAATGCCAAGAGAACTACTTTTTTTTCTTTGGGACATAAGACACTATAGTACAATTTTCTTGAAACCCAAAAATTGAAGTGTGAACTTCCCGACCCGGAGTATTTGTAAAGACTGGCGGAATTTCAGCCTTATTCTTTCTCAACGTTCCGAGCGCTGTCAACCCATAATCGTTATACAAATCACGCAACAACGGGAAGCTGGTGAACCAGTTGTCCATCACGATATTCCTATGGCTGTTTTTTATAGGTTCTACCAAACGTTTGACGACATCGCTTGGTGAATTACTGTGATCGTATGGCCCTTCATTTTTTCCAACGTAAACTTCTAAATTATTTGTATAGAAGCTACGCGCGTCAGCCATCACAAAATTTTTATACCGTATTTCCCAGGCTTACTCGGTATATATTGCCTGAATGGGCAACTACCACGTGTTTTCTCCAGCTTTTCGTCAATTGTCACGTTTTCACCCACAACATAGTATTTTTTATGTTATCGTTGATCTCTCGGAAAACCTCTCTCAAACCGCCAGCTTATCTGTCTGCCTTCTTTCAGCTCTTGTATGAATATCGTCAAAACGTAAACTTCTTGGTAAAAAATGAAATCTTTCGCGTGACATAGCGGCAATACATATATCGCTACCACTTCCATCCTTTTCCCAGAGGTCTTTTGTGTTTAGATGACCACTTCGCAGTCGTCCACACAAGTAAAGTAATCCAAAAAGAGCTCTTATTTTAAAAATATCCGTTTGCTTACAGTCACGTTCTCTTGAGTAGTTAGATTTCAAATTTTGAATATACATGTTTGTATAGTGGATTATTTTTTGTAGTAAAGACCCTAGAAAAATAAGATCCCAGGCTTCTAACATAGAAGAGCAACGTTTTCCTTCACCAATGGGACCTGGCAAGTGTAGAATAATATTATGAGATCTCGTTCGAACACACCGTGGTGGCTCACGGACTTGCCACTCAGATCTTTTATCTTTTCCAATAAATTTCCCTAGTCTACGATAATTCAATGGCACATCTTCTAAATATTCTTTATAAATCCCTTCATTTTCAATCTGTTGATCTGGCAAATGAGAGTTGAAATTTTATTCTGAATCTAAGGGTGTGTCTGAATCACTTGCTTCCTGCTCCGTTTCACTTTCACGCTCACTATGTTCTTCGAAATCTTCTTTTTCCGACACAATTTCTTCTTCATCGTCTTCCTCTTCTAGCAATTGTGCTATTGTATTCTCTTTTAGTGGACAAGACATCGTGAAAAAGCTCTTATACAAAAAAAATGTTTATTAACAAACCGAAAAATAATATAACGAAAACAGTCGCTACTGGGTAATTTTTACTCTTACGCACTTTATACGCCCGTTGTTGCTAAGCACCGCGCGCAAACTGGCTGCCCCGTGACACGCGCATGGAATATGTCTCAGCTTGAAGGTACCTAGAATTGCGATCTGCTCGCGCGCCTTAAAATAAAAGTTAGTTTAGAATTTAAGTACTCTGTGGTATTTTTTACCCAGTAGCGAGTGCCCCCGGGTTAAGGATGGCTTAAGCAAAATGACTAAAACGCCATCTGTCAAAAGCCATAAGAAATTTCAGGCATTTCCGACAGTCATCTCTTACGACACCACGGGAATAAAATAGCAAAGGGATATAATATAATTGGTATTTTGTGCGGAAAAGTGACCGTTTTACAAAAAAAAATTATAAAAAAGCTATTTTTTATTTGCATTACTGTAACACATTCTTGCCATTTTAAGAGCTATTGGTTGATAATATAGAAGTCTGCTGCACGAAAATGAATGAATACTTAGGTGTCCATTATTGCTTCTTTTCGAATTAAAATTATTGTCTGTCAAATAGTCTACATAATAATATTTGTTCACGTGGTTTAGACATATGGCACGTACGTTGTCCAAAGAGAATGCTTTGAACAGTTCGATACTAGTAATAAGTAAACAAAAAACTAATACTCATATGTAGATTTTGGAATCTAAAACAATGAAACCAATTTATTCAAACAACTGTAATGTCCTTTGAATAAATTTTATTAGCATTACTGTAACACATTCTTGCCATTTTAAGAGCTATTGGTTGATATTATAGAAGTCTGCTGCACGAAAATGAATGAATGAATACTTAGGCGTCCATTATTGCTTCTTTTCGAATAAAAATTATTTTCTGTAAATAGTCTGCATAATAATATTTGTTCATGTGGTTTAGACATATGGCATGTACGTTGTCCAAAGTGAATGCTTCGAACAGTTCGATACTAGTAATAAGTAAACAAAAAACCAATACTCATATGTATATTTTGGAATCTAAAACAATTAAACCAATTTATTCAAACAACCGTAATGTCCTTTGAATAAATTTTACAAGCCTTAAATGTTTATATAATTATATTATATCGGCTGTGATTACTATTATCTAAGTGATACTGCGCCTAACTTTCTAATGCAGCTAATAATTCAAAACGCAATAACACAATCCCCTCAATATATAATCTCTATAATATAGCGAGCTCAAATGGACGACATTATTAAATATTCAAGGAATTAAGCTTTTAGAATAAATTCAAAGATTAAATTTTAATTTAAATGTGGTTGATTATATTTCCATCGTCAACGTCAACTATGTTTACATAACTTCTAACAGTTATTTAAAGTTTTTATACTAAGCAATGCAAACATAAGTAATGTAGTGCAAAATATATTAAAGAAACACATTACCTTTAGGTAAGTGCAGTAAATCACGTTAACTTAGTCTGAAGTGATGTAGAGTTTATGGGAAAGCTTTATAAAAATTTATTCATAAGTACCTATAAATAAAAATAAAACATTTGAGTTGCAAGTTAAAAGCGTAAATAGCTGCAAAAGCTAAATACTGAGGCAATACCGAAAATCGTTGATTGGATGTATTGTAGTGGCAGAGTAAGAGAATCATCCAAAGAAGAATCTGCAAAAGATCAATAAAGAAACTTAAATACACTCGTGGGCGAAATATGAGGTGATTCTAATGCAAAAACATTCTAATGCAAAAAAGGTATTAATATAATAAGATAATTATTTCAGAGATAAGGAGATCTGCCTAAGATTTTTTTAATTTGTGTATATTACATAAAATTTTATTAGTTGTTGGCCTTCAACTCGCAAACTGAACTTGTAAATGAAGTATTCTCTCTAGTAGGCCCTCTATAAGCTGAAGTAACAATCTGAGAAAAGATACAGGAAGTCGATTTAAGCAGGTGATCCATGTTGATGTTGATGACGTTGGGTCAGTTCTTGGAGGAGGCCTATGCTCAGCAGGACTTTTTGTTGTTTGTAATGAATATAATCAAAGAAAATAATGAATATAATAAAAAATACCGTGTAGTTGATAAAAACGGTCCGATAGAGAAAACCCATACTAAAAATGGCCAAAATCATTGATAAGGTTAATATTACTTCTGACGTAACCGAGTCAATAAAAGAGAGACTCAAATATTCACAGTTCATTCAGTGTAAATTACGTTTTTATCTTATAAAATAATACGTTAATACCAGCCCGTATTTCTAGACTAATTTTTGTTTTATAAAGGCTAGCGCTGGGTTTGATATAAACTCGACTATATCACACTTCAAATCTGTGTTGGCTTATAAGCTTTGAGTGCTCGTTTATAAGCACTGGGTACGAATGTAGCAGTTTATATTGTAGTTAGTTCCACCCCAGAATTTTCACGTAACTATTTACATCAAAATGTTCATATCCCTATTGCACCATCCTCAGTTACTGATTTTTTTATATGAGAATTCTAAGTGTGTGCGACTGCCTTGTTGGTTTAATAATCGTAAACGCACTTGCTGATCATTAGGGTCCCGAGTTCGAATCCCAGGTCACACCAAAATTAGTTATTTGGATTTTCTGTCAAAAAAATTTCAGTAGTCAAATATTTGGCGGTATTTCACCCCATGCCTCGGAAAGCACATAAAGCCGTTTATTTTGCGCCTGATTGCTCTCCAGTCGTGTTGGATACCGTCCCATGGAGTTTGAGAGTGAAAGAATAGAGAGTGCACCCATGCTTGCAGATATACTTGGGCACTATAACCCTATCCTGCGCAGATGGCTAGTATCCTTTGAGACTGGCTGCCGTGGACGAAATTCAGTCTGGAGGACATTACTGATGTATAAACTATTTTATAAAAACGAATCATTTAAATGGGTTCAGCCGTTTCTTCGACTCAGTTTAAAACATGAGTATTTTTAATTCCAATTTTATGGTTTAAAATATTAATAATATTACTTCATAATATAATAATAAAACAAACTACTATCACTTTACTCATGAAGATGCCATTATCTCAATAAATTAGAGGAAACTATGATATCCGAAAGAAAGTTTTACTTATTTAAGGAAATAAAGATAACATATAAATAAAATATCCTTTGCCTTGACCCTACTGAAATGCATTGTAAAAGCAGTCCCATTTTCAGCTAGACGTGTTTTCTAGTAAATCGTAATGTTATTTACGTGCCTGGATTAAAAATGTTGGCTTCATTTACTCCCGACATTTTACGAGCAGGATCTTGTGGGATATGGATTATTTTAGTTTTAAATTTAACAAGCTAAAGTTGTGTGCTTATGCCATTAGAAAAACTACCACGGCCTACCACGGATTCACTAAAATATCCCGAAAGATCTTGTGGTCTTTGGGACGTGTTTTAGAATTTCTTTTTACACTAGCCGTAAATTTTCCAGACTGGCAACGGGACGCAGCGTCAAAGGTGCGAGAAGCCTGGTACTGGATACATTTTTAGTAGACTCCTTGATTTCAATGCAAAACTACAGATGCATTGTCACCTCTGAGGACTACTAATGCCTCGTTGTTAAAAGATGTAAAAATATCTTCAAATGTGAAACACCTATCGTGTTTCACACTTGAAGATATTTTATGTCATAATAAACAACAGTGGGTACTGACGTAGATTTTTAGGTAGTAGGTTTTTTTCACTTACGTACTATAGATAATGATATAAAGAATTTTTATACAAATTCTTTATAGATCTAGACATTTTTAGAAACAGAATATGAAACTTTTCAATATACTTCACTTTTTTTAATTTACCACTCGTCAGTAAAACAAATGTCAATCCTAGGTAGAACCAGCAAAAACCCAGCGGTACTTTTAAAAAAGAAACAGCTTACATTCATGTATGGTACAAATAAAAACACAAAACCAATTAGAAATAGCTTGGTAGCTCTAACATTTTTCCTGGGGTTATTATCATCCATAAATTTCTTAACATTATAAAAACACTTTTTATAAAAACTTAGTTTAATAACGTTTTCGAACACTTTGCAGGTCAAATTTTGTTTATTTCCTGGGATTTTTTTATAAAAGCGTATACATCGCCCCAGGAATGAATTACTGACTCGCTGGAGTCGAGTAACCGGTACTACTAGCTAGTCTGTGCCTAGTGTTTACAGAATGAATATCACTTATTTTTGTAAAACTTCTTTATTTTTGTGTTACATTCATTTTCATAAATGTATTGAGAGGCCAAAGATAATAATATATTTATTTCCTTAATTTTTTGTCTGTGCGACTTTGCTCTTTAGGTTTTAAATCATAGATAGCTCTAATGGCCCTCTTATATAAAAAAAATATAATTTCAGTGTCAGTTGCATGTCCCCATAGCAAAATACCATACGACATTATGTTACAGAAATAGCTAAAATAGTCTAACTGTTTCAACACTTGAAGCTAGTTGCTTGCTGATCATCGTACTACTCTGAGAACGTCCAACACAATGGTCCAGTCACGCGACAAACGTAACTGTTTGTTTGCTACGTTAGCTTGTAATTGTGAAAGGCTATATGGGATTCTCTTACAAATCCATGTAGTGACATTCACTACCCTCTTATCCCGTTGGTGTCGTAATAGAGGAAAATGTAGCAAAAGATGGGCAGCAGCATCTTCCTGATAGCAGCTCAAAACAATAATTACTGCGGTTGCCAATCCGTCTGCCAAAGGTGGCGACAATGGAGCAGCAGTTAACTTTTGATAAGCTGTAATTATTGAATTAAAAAAAGAATGGTAATTATCCACAAGAAATTGTGAGTATAACTCTTTCCATTGCTGGTTAAACAGTTTCGAGCTAGACCAGTAGTTGCACAGCCGAGTCCATGTTTGGGTCTTATAGGTTTCTGTGAGGCTGCGTAGTCGATAAAATATCCAATACTTAATTATTTGTGCATTTGTTTATTTGTTACAACTTG